CTTTCCCTATGTTCCATCTCTCAAAATGCTGTTCACCTTCCGAGTCCCAATTCAAATGCCACTTCATAAAGACTTTCTTAATCTTTCTATCTCCCACCCCCACAAAACAGAAGCCATCTCTTTCTTCTCAGAAGGCCCACATCTTACCTGCTCTTTCAGGATGGGGATCTCCAGCTCCATCCCTTACTAGTTACATGTCCTTGGGCTCTCTGAGCCTCAGTTTCCTCAACTATAAAATAAGGAAAATAGTACCCTCCTCATGGGATAGCCATGAGATTTTTAAAAGACAATGTCTAAAGTACTCAGTATAGCAGCAAACATTAAGCTAATCTTATAATAGTCTCTGCCTTTTACTTTAGTATGTACACATGACTTATCACACTTAAACTTCAAAAGTTTATTCAAAACGAAGGCAGAGGGACTTCCCTGGTGGTCCAGTGGGTAAGACTTCATGCTCCCAATGCAGGGGGCCTGGGTTCGATCCCTGGTGGGGGAACTAGATCCTGCATGCATGCCACAACTAAGAAGTCTGCATGCCACAACTAAAGATCCCACATGCTGCAATGAAGATCCCGCATGCCACAACTAAGACACAGCAGAGCCTAAATAAATAAATAATTAAAAATAAAAGTTGGTAGCAACATATTCAGTAAATGTTAAAAAAAAAAAAAAAAACGAAGGCAGGGTCTTCCCTGGTGGCGTAGTGGTTGAGAGTCCGCCTGCCGATGCAGGGGACACGGGTTCGTGCCCCGGTCCAGGAGGATCCCACATGCTGCGGAGTGGCTGGGCCCGTGAGCCATGGCCGCTGAGCCTGCGCGTCCGGAGCCTGTGCTCCGCAACGGGAGAGGCCACAACAGTGAGAGGCCCATGCACCGCAAAAAAAAAAACAAAAAAAAACACCCTACTTTGCTTCACCTATCACTGCCCCATCAAGAACGGCTATCACTGGCTTCCCTGGTGGTGCAGTGGTTAAGAATCCACCTGCCAATGCAAGAGACACAGGCTCGAGCCCTGGTCCAGGAAGATCCCACATGCCGCGGAGCAACTAAGCCCATGCACCACAACTACTGAAGCCCGCACACCCTAGAGCCCGTGCGCTGCAACAAGAGAAGGCACCGCAATGAGAAGCCTGCGCACCGCAACGAAGAGTAGCCCCCGTTCGCCGCAACTGAGAAAGCCCACGCGCTGCAACGAAGACCCAATGCAGCCATAAATAAATAAATAAATAAATAAAATAAAAGCATTTATCTCATCACAAATGCCTTTAACATTAAAAAGAATGGCTATCCTGGGCACCAAGGTGGTTTATTTAGCTGGCACTTGGACAGGACAAATATAGGACTACTGCCATATATTTGCTTAATAAAAGCAACATCTGTATGCATTTCAAATCTGCTACAGCAGGGGTCCCCAACCTCCGGGTGGACCTTACTGGGTCTCGGCCTGTAAGGAACTGGGCCGCACAGCAGAAGGTGAGCAGCGGGCTGGAGAGCAAAGCCTCATCTGCCGCTCCCCCATCGCTGGCATTACCTCCTGAAGCATCCACCCACCCCCAGCCCCCCTTTACTCCCCCGTCCGTGGAAAAACCGTCTTCCATGAAACCAGTCCCTGGTGCCAAAAAGGTTGGGGACCGCTGTGCTACAGGGTGAGAGGTATTCAGAAAACAGCTGAGGGGGACTTCCCTGGTGGTCCAGTGGTTAAGACTCCGCACTTCCACCGCAAGGGGCATGCGTTTGATCCCTGGTCCGGGAACTAAGATCCTGCATGCCGTGCAGTTCAGCACAGTGCACTCACCCCCCAAAAACATTTTTTTAAAAAGAAAGATTTAAAAAAAAAAAAAGAAGAAGAAGAAGGAAAGAAAACAGCTGAGCTCTCCACCTGTGAATGAAATGATTCATCTTTTTTTGGCCGTGCTGTGGGTTTGTGGGATCTTAGTTCCCCAACCAGGGATCAAACCCTGGCCACGGCAATGAAAGCACTGAGTCCTAACCCCGGGACCATCAGGGAATCCCCTGAAATGGTTCATCTAACAGTGACTAATTCAAAAGTCAAACCATCTCACATCAGCTGCCACCCAACCACCAGGGTCATGACCCTGGCGCTAGAGCAGCCTGTGCTAGTAAAGGGAGCCCCGAGGCTGTGGGGAGCACTCACTTTGAGAACACTTAGAACTCAGCCCCGTAGCAGTGTTCACTGCATGGGGGAATCCTACAGGGGGTACACATCGACCCCTACATCCAGCAATCATTCAATTAAGCACACGCTGAAAGCCCAAGCAAGACCCGCCAAAGGAATGACCTACGCTTAGGCTCCAAGATACCTTGAGAAGCAGGGAGAGTATAAATAGAGCCACTCCCATCCCCAAAGGAGGCATAAAAGCGAGGCTAGGACACAGGACTTTTCACCTGGGAGTAGGTCCGAGTGGAAGAAGAGAGAGATTTACTGAGCAGCCTGCCCTACCTTTACTTAAGCTACTGCCTCCTTGGCAGCACTACCAGAGCTAGAGACCAGGAGGCCCCAGGGCTGCTGTTAATAGCACAAGACTCCCAGCAACCAGAAGTGTCCACTAACAAGAAACTGGTTAAACAGAGTATAGCACCCCATGGAATGGGGCACACGAGGCGTTTCATTAACAAGAATGAGGCAGCTCTAAATGCAGTCATGTGGAACAATGCCCAAAATAAACTAAGTTGGGTAAGAAAAGCTGCAAAATGCCCAGAAGCTGCTACTTTTTTTTTCCCATTCTTGAGACGTTTATTAAAATAATACATTCAGGGGAAAAAAATCAATACAATTGTATACATCATTACTGAAAACTGTATACCATCATACAAAAAAGGATTTTATTTTGGGAAATCGATTCCTAATTTACGGCAAGTTTTACTTTCAGAAGTAAAACCACAAAACAACATAACCTAATTCAATCTTAAAGGCTGGCATGCTGAGCAAGGAATGTTCTTATTCTTTGTAGGAGCTCCTTCTTTACACTGTCAGGTACCAGGGCTCTGCTTTTTGGTGTGATTTCAGCTACCAAGTCATCAACAGTAACGTGTTCTAGTCCTTTTTCTTTAATTACCTCTTTACAGTGTGCCTTGAACTGATCCTTCCAGCCACATACAATTAACTTGGCTCTCAGCAACTCTTTGAGGCATTCTCTTTCTCCAGTTTCTATCAACTTTTGGTTAATTGCTGCTCTCATCTGCGCATCTTTGTTCATCTTGCTAACCACACTCTTCAGCTGCCTGGACCTAGACCCTCAGTAGCTTGGGCACCTAAGCACACAGAAAGCTAGCACACCTGCTACTTGTATTTTTAAAGCATGAACTTCTGCTGAAACAGCTTCCTAGGTCTGACGTTTTTCTCTTCTTTTTTGGTAACACAACATGAGTTAGTTTTCTGCCACTCCCAACTAAGAAGCCTAACGATAATAATAGCTAACACTGTGTGCCAGGCACTATCCTGAGCGCTTCACATGTACTAACTCCTCTTAACCTCACAGCCCCGAGACGGACATGGTATTACATTCCGATCTTAAGAGACACAGCTGCCTTGCCTGCTGAGGTAAGACCTGCCAGTGAGCTGAGCTCGGGGGTCCCCAGACCCCCCCCAGAGTGACTTCCTTCTCCATCCAGTCCAGACTCACGGTGCTTTCCTTCAACTACACTCCTGTCCTTGCCCCACCATCAGCCCTTCTACCCCTTGTCCTCCCACGTACCACCTCCACTGCGCCCCAGCCCCCCAGAAGTCTGGTTTACACAGTTCACTTTCTCTGCCCTACGGAGGGGCGGGGGTGGGGAGGTGCAAGTCGCACAACCACGAAGACTACAAGATACATTTCTGAAGTCCACTCCACACTCCAGAGCCCAAACTCAGAGGATCTCAGGCGGGGAGGGGAGAGGTGAGTCTGCCCTCTCTGCCAGGGCACATCTGGTAACATCTGGAGGCATTTTTGGTTGTCGAGACTGGGGAGTGGGTGTGTGCTGTTGGTACAGGTTCTAGCCCTACCTGAACAACTGGAAGATCTCACAACTCTGGGATCACACTGGCTGGCCTAAAACAGCTGGAGCTTCAGGACTGCCTCCTTGAGCAGCCAAGGTTCCCTTTTTCTCCCCCACCTGTGTCGGCCGCTAGCTGGCCTCTAACTCGACCCACTTGATTTTGCAACTCCACTGCTTCCTAGTCAACCACCTTCTGTCCCCACCATTTAACACTAAGGTATTTCAGTCACCTTTTAGTCGCCAAATTCGAAGTTCCCCCTCCTCCTTCCTCCTCCTACTCTATCTCTCAGCAGCAAAACTACCTACCAACTACATCCACCTGCAGCTCCCCACCGTCCAAGCTTCCCCCTCCACGCCCAGCCTGTAGCCTCCGCCTTCTGTCTCCAGGCTGCTTTTCCCACCTGCTTCTTCCATGTTGAGATTCTCCAGGCTCCATGTGCAAACCTCTACTCTTCCTAATGGGCACAGCCTCCCTGGACAAGCTCACTGCCAACAAACTGAAGGTCCCAAGTTGACCTCCAGCTCTTTTACCCTCTCTGGAGCCAACCAACTGCCCAGAGAGGTTCTCTTTGTGCCACAAGCACCTCAAACTCCACAAGTCAACAAGTGAGACATCTGTAACCAGTTACCTGAGTCTGAAACCTGGGATCCATCCTAAATGCCTCCTGGTCTCTTGCCTCTATTCTAATGCATCAAGCCTGCTGATTGTACTAGCTAATTATTTCTACTCTCCATCCCAATACCTTTGTCCTATTTCACCCCCCCACACACACCACCAGAAGAGCTTTTCATCTACTCTCTCTGCCTGAACTCCCCAATCCCTAACCAATTCGTCTCTTCTCACGGCTGCAGGTGATGCTTTTAACAAGTGTACTTGATCAGAGTCCCAGACTGAAAACGCCAACAATCCCCTCCCCTACTGCATCACGGATAAACTGAACTCCTTTCTGCAACATACAAGACCCTTGAAGATCTCACCCCAATTAGGAGTGCAGCCTCTTTAGGCTTTGCACTCCTGCAGTAATGACCTCCTTCTTCCCAGAATGCTCCACACCCTCCTGTTCCCCCAGCTTTTGCACATGCAGTTTCCTGCATCTGAAACGCTGTCGCCTCCATTGTCCACTCAAATGCTATGTCCCCTGAGACAATCCCCAGGTAAACAAACCCAACTCCCACCACCGCACTTTAAACCCGGCTCCCTCCCAATCTTCAGTTAATGTAACAAAGTGCTGTTATTGTGGGCTTGTACCACCCACTTAAAAATGTCTTTGTGAGCAAGGACCCTGTATTACGCGTCTCAGTACACCCAGCACCCAGCAGAGCCCAATACAAGGAGCATATGCTTTATTCTCTTGGAATTTCGAGTCCCCACCGGTAACGTAGGAACAAAAACGACTCTTAGGACTGCCGTGAGTCTTCCAGGAGACAATACACATAAGAAACCCGGCCACAACCAACATGCACAAAAGGTGTAAAGGGCTTGTTTTGACATTAAAGTCGGCAGCCAGAGACAACTCCGTCCCAGGGGATGGGTATGTTGCACAACTGAGGAAGTCGAAAGGTCCCCATCTGTAAAACGAGGTTAAAAACAGAAGCTGTCTCTTGGGGTCGTAATGAGGATTAACAGTGGCTGAAATGCTTTTCAGCACAGTGCTTGGCATAAAAGCAAAGCTCAATAAACGTTAGCCATTATGTTGTTAACAGTGTTTATGCACCGCGACTGGGGGAGGTTGGGAGGAGGAGGGGGGAGCAGAGCGCCCAGCCTCGGGTCCGCAGCCCTGGCGGATTCCTGGGACTCCTCTCGGGGCCTCCCCGCGGCGATCCTCCCACCCGCGCCGGGCCCAGCCCGCCTCCCCGGGCGCCGGCCTCCCCGCGGCCACCTGTCCGGCCGCCGGCCTCAGAAGAAAGGCCCAGGGAGGCGGGAAGCCAGGCCTCACGTGGGGCGCTGGGCCCGCGCCGAGGGGCGGCCCTGGCTACTCACTGAGCCACAGCTCCAGCGCCGCCGCCGGCCCCGGGGGCCCCTCGGCCGACTCGGCCCCCGCCGCGGCCCCGGCCCCCGCCGCCACCGCCGTCGCCGTCGCCGCCATAGGCCCAGCCCCGCAGCCGAGGCCGCGGCCGCCCCTGCCCTTCAGCCGCCGGCGTCTGGAGTGTTCCTGGGCTGCCGACGCGGCAGGCGAGGGTTGGCACGTGATGGGACGGGGCCTGTGGTGCCTCGCCCACACACCAGGCCCCGCCTCCGCGCAGGCCCCGGGCCGGGGGTGCCGCCTCCCCGACAACCCTCCTCCACGCGCGGGTCGGGCTCGCGGACTGGTCTTCCAGACCCGCAGCCAGGTCAAAGTTGGTCAAGCCGACCTCGCAAGGCCTGCCAGGTGAAACAGAGGACGCCCCGTTAAATTTGAGTCTCAGGTAACGAATTCTTCTAGCATTTTTATTCCGGACGGTCTTTATGGACCATCACCTCTTTCCATACTTTGCTTTATTTTCTCCGTAACACATTACACCATGAGCGTACTAGATATTTACTTACTGTGTCAAAGGGTAATTCCCCCCCCACAAAAAGTCATGGTTCTCATGCATTGTAAAATGAACGCGTGTTAAATATTTTAACTCTAATTAAACGAGAAAACCAAGCGGATGTCATAATCCGTTCAAAAGGGAAGTCAGAAAAAGGGCAAGTTTATACAGAATAAACTAACGTTGGAACAGATTGCAGGTGGACACAAAACTCAGAATTAATTTGCATTTTTAAATTTTTATTTATTATTATTATTTTGGCCACGCCATGGGGCTTGCGGGATCTTAGTTCCCCGACCAGGGAAGCACGGAGTCCTAACCACTGGACCGCCAGAGAATTCCCCAATTTGCGTGTTTACAGGCAAGAATTATTTGCGTTGCTCTCAGTTATCTACAGCTAAGAGTGTAAGACATCTCTGAGGCAGTGAAAGGAAGGATAGGAACTGGAAAGGTGCGCTCTCTAGACAATGTGTAATTTTCCTTGGAAGCACACATTCTCTATACTCAATTACCTGCTTCAACCCACTAATATAAGCAGGAATTTTGTACACTTTTATGTCCCCAATACCTAGGGTAGTGCCTGGCACACCATTGCCAATACATATTTGTTGAATGGCCAGATGAACAGTGGAAGCAGTAAGAGGTAGCTACAGGATTTTAGGTCCCATCCCTACCCCAAATAAACACACAGTCTAAGTTTAAATGTACATTTGCTGTGCTATTTCAGCTCCAAAATAAGTCCAGACACACATCTCCATCTGACAGATTGCTGCCTTCTATTTGGAAATTATCCGACTGAACTCCTCCCTGTGTGCCAGGTTCTTTTACAGTTGTTACCTGTCTTAGTAAACTTGGGCTGCTATAAAAAATACCACAGACTGGTTGGCCTAAACAACAGACACTTATTTCTCACTGGAGGCTGGGAAGTCCAAGATCAAGGTGCTGCTGATGGGTTCCTGATGACAATCTGCTTCCAGGTTTGCAGAGGGCTGCTTTCTTGCTGTGTGTTCACAGGGTGGAGAGAGAGAGCTCTGATACCTTCCTCTTATCGGGGTACTAATCCCATCCTGAGGGACCCACCCTCAGCACATCTAAACGTAATTACCTGCCACAGACCTACCTCAAATACCATCACATGGAGATAAGCTCTTCAGTGTGTGAATTTGAATTTTAAGGGGACACGTTCAGTCTGTAACATTATTCATGTTTGGGAAGTTTTGTATGAAATCAGTGAAAACTAAGCATTGTTTACAGCAGCCCTTCTGTGTTACCTGATTTTGGTTCCTTGGGAGTTATTTTACCTCTCTGTAAACTGTAAATAACTGAAAGCAATAGAAAATTATTCTTGTCTATAGACATGCAAATGATTCTGTCCCAGGAAGACACAACCCTCTCCCCGTGGAAAAAACAGCTTTGCCTCCATTTTGCACATTCATTTCTATATTCCTGATCTATAAATGTGTCTGTTCTTTGGATTCTCCTTTGAACTGCTTGTAACATCTCACGAGGTTTTAAGTGAAATCTTTAACATGTGTTCATCTCTCAAAAGTTCTAAACATCTGGCAACACTGGAGCTGGGTTTCCTCGTTGCAACAAATGCCTGGAGATGACTGGAGACTGCACCCTGCCAAGAACCATCCATCACCTCCTGAATATTTCTTATACCTGGCTTATGTTATTTATTTTAAGCATCTGCACTCTTTTAACATTTTGACATGTGATCAGTGGCTCTCTAACATTTGTCAGAATCACCTGGAAGGCTTGTTAAAACACAGAATGCAGGGACCCACCCACACAGTTACTGATTCAGTAGGTCCGGGGTAATGTCCAAGAATCTAATCATTCTCCCTCCAGGCGATGCTCGAGGGACCACGACTGAAAGGTTAAAGAATAAGTTGGAGTGTATTGAGGTGGATGGACCTAGAGACTGTCATACAGAGTGAAGTCAGAAAGATAAAAACAAATACCATATGCTAACACATATATATGGAACCTAAAAAAAACCCAAAAACTGGTTCTGAAGAACCTAGGGGCACGACAGGAATAAAGACACAGACGTAGAGAATGGACTTGAGGACACGGGGAGGGAGAAGGGTAAGCTGGGACGAAGTGAGAGAGTGGCGTGGACATATATACACTACCAAATAGGGAGATCAGCTCAGTGCTTTGTGTCCACCTAGAGGGGTGGGATAGGGAGGGTGGGAGGGAAACACAAGAGGGAGGAGATATGGGGATTTATGTATACATATAGCTGATTCACTTTGTTATACAGCAGAAACTAACACACATTGTAAAGCAATTATACTCCAATAAAGATGTTTAAAAAAAAAAAGTTGGCTGTAAGGCAGTGGTTTGGCAGTTCAGTGTAGTGGTTGGGTGCATAGGCTTTGGTTCCAGACCAAATGCTGTCACCCCCATGAGGCCTTCCTAGGCCCCCTCTTGCGTGTTCGTGCAGCCCTTCCTGCCCAAGCTCCCCTCTGCTTTCTATTTCCTTTCCTATGTCATCTGTGTGGGCCGCCGTCCCCCTCTCCTTTCTGGAGGATGAGCTTTCGTAAGCAGGGGAGATGTCTATCTAATTCATCGAACTTCCGGCACTTAATAGGCACAAAATAATCATTGGTGGAAACTGAATCCTCTGACCCTCCTTGCCCAGCTCTAAGCACCAGATGGGAGCTAACTGTACCTCTGATTCCTTCTTTCCCAGTGTGTATCTTTTTGCCTGTTCTGTTACCTCAGCCTGGAACATCCTGCCTCTGTTGTCTGTCAAACTACCTCAGGGTTGGGCTGCCAGATTTACCTAGTAAAGATACAGGAAGCCCAGTTAAATCAGAATTTTAGACAAACAACAAATAATTTTTAAAAACTGAGATATAATTAACATGATGTATTAGTTTCAGGTGTACATGATTTGATATTTATGTCTTGCAAAATGATCACGATATGTCTTGTTAGTATCCAACACTACCCATCATTATAAAATATTTTTTTCTTATGAGAACTTCTAAAATCTACTCTCTTAGCAACCTTCAAATATATAGTGCATTATTGTTAACTAGAATCACCATGCTGTACATTGCATCCCCAGGACTTACCTATTTTGTAACTCGAAGTTTTTACCTTTTGATCACATTCACCCCATTTTGGCCACCCCTACACAATTATAAATAACTTTTTTAGTATAATATTGCATGGGACACACTTATACTAAAAACGTATTCAGTTTCTCTGAAATTAAAAGCAAAAACAACAGTCCAACTCCTTGCCACGCAGGCATTTCCTGACTGGCTCCCCACACCCAAGGATACCCATATCCCTGTATCCCTTTGCTTGCTCCTTCACCACCTTCTCCACACTTGCATTTTTGTGATTGTTAGTCACCTATGAGACTGTGATCTGAGGCAGGAGCCTTATCTTTTATTTGTTTGTGTTTTATTTTGTTATTTATTTTTAATAATTTTTTTTATTTTTGGCTGCATTGGGTCTTCGTTGCTGCGTGCGGGCTTTCTCTAGTTGCGGCGAGAGGGGGCCACTCTTGGTTGCAGTGCAAGGGCTTCTCACTGTGGGTTTCTCCTGTTGCAGAGCGCGGGCTTCAGTAGTTGTGCCACGTGGGCTCCAGAGCGTTGGCTCAGTAGTTGTGGCGCACGGGCTTAGCTGCTCCGCAGCATGTGGGATCTTCCCCGGACCAGGGCTCGAACCCGTGTCCCCCGTGTTGGTAGGCAGGTTCTTAACCACTGAGCCACCAGGGAAGCCCTTATTTTTAAAAGCTTAAGGCACTGACTGAAGGAAGGAACAAAAATCTGTGGACTTAGCCCCCACAATGAACAAGGCTTTGTCAAATTCCTCTCCACACCCTCAGGCCTCACAGGGCCTGGCACAGAGTAGGTGTTTGTCAAATGGATGAATGAAGATAGGACTGAATAGACAGACTGATGCAGGAGACAGATGGGCTCCACGCTAGGCATTTACAACTGGCCTGTTCACACCTCCTGGGGTGAGAAGATGGGCTCCAGGGTGGACATTCATCATTACCAGCCCGCTGTTTACGTTTCCTGAAGCAAGAGACAAATGGGCTCCAGTACTACATATTTATGACCAGACTCCTGTCTATATTTCAGAATCTGCACCTTGATATAAAAACCAGCAACAGAGGGCTTCCCTGGTGGCACAGTGGTTGAGAGTCTGCCTGCCGATGCAGGGCACACGGGTTCGTGCCCCGGTAAGAGAAGATCCCACATGCCACGGAGCGGCTGGGCCCGTGAGCCATGGCCACTGAGCCTGCGCGTCCAGAGCCTGTGCTCCACAATGGGAGAGGCCACAACAGTGAGAGGCCCGCCTACCGCAAAAAAAAAAACAAAAAAAAACCAGCAACAGAAATTGGGTAAATAACCAGATATTGGACTTTTTTTTTTGAATTTTATTTTATTTTATTTTTTATTTATTTATTTATTATCAGCATGCGGGCCTCTCACTGCTGTGGCCTCTCCCATTGCGGAGCACAGGCTCCAGACGTGCAGACTCAGCG